CCGGGCCGGGCTGGGAGCCGCCGCCCCTCCTCGGCTGCAGGCGGCGGTTAGCGGCCGCCCGGACCGTTTCGTCTTGTGCAACGTCCCCTCAGGTGGCTGAGGCGGCTTCCTGGTGCCGGGGAGGGGCAGCGCTCCGCCGGGGGTTGGGCACAAGACTTCGGCGGAGCAGGAGGAATCGGTCGTCCGGTTCGCCGGTCCCTCAGGTAGCGAAACTCGGTGGAGTTAAAGCTCTGCGCCAGAACATTGACGCGCTCGGTGCCGGTCTGCGGTGGCGGTGTAACACTGCCCTGAAAAGCGCCCTCACCCGTCTGGAAGGAGACTGCGAGAAGTCATCGTTTTTCCTAAAAAAAACCAAACCACCAAACAACGCGCTGTTCTTCCTGAGCCGCTGGTAGAGTGCGTTGCTGTTTCTGCTTGTTGCATTGCAGTTGCGTTATATGTGTAAGACAAACCTTAGCTGACATGCACGTTGTCGTAATTTAGTCTTCCGCCAGGGAAAAGTTGCGATATGAAACCTCGTCACTTTTGCTTCCGTACTCTTATCTTCCAAGTGCATTAAGTACCCTCAAGGTAATACAGAATCGTAGAATTGCCTAGGTTGGAAGGGACCCGCCTCTGAAACTTGTATTTGTTTTCTTGAGTTTACGTTAAAGATATTTTTGTGGTGGTACAACAAAGTTTATTTAGTAAAAGTAGAGTCAAAATCAATTCCAAATTATTTTGGTTTTCAACTTTTAAAAAAAAATAATTTAACCTTATATATGTGTAGTCACAGCGGTAAGATGTTTCAAAGGGCATGCAGGACACCAACAAGCATGAGAAGAAAAAAAAAGTAAGCAAGAAAAATGCATAGAGGAGTAAGGAGAACTAGACAGAGGTCATCTTGTTTTTCTCATTATGATGTTAGAGAGAATGCAGTGTTTTTCCAACAAATATGTTTGTGTTAAATATCTCAGAATTAATCTATACAAATCCATTAATGTTACTGTTAGACTAATTTTAGTTCAGCTGTTGAAAGCAAAAGTCCATTTCAGGTAGGTTGAATAACTAAGCCATTATTTAATGTCATTTGCCAGAATTCCAAGGTAGCAATGCTGTGCCACAGTGTTTTTACAACCTTGTGATACGCCCAAGGTGTTAATATTTCTCCAGAATTTAAGGCTAGAGGGAAGCCATAGTAGCTGTTTTGTACAAACAACACTGAAGAGCCTTCTTCTAGGGGTAATAAAACTAAAATCCCAACTCCACAGATAGGTTGATGTTATTACTTGGGGTGGAGTTTACTTTTTTTCCCCCTTATTCTAACTTAGAATCAGATGCCGTCATTACCATGACTTCCTTTAGGAAATACCTTGAAGGACAAAGTTAACTAGTAAGATATGTTTTTTTCTTTCCTTATTGTGTTTATTTTTTTTAGTGAAAGTCAGGGTGCTGTTCCAACATAAATAAGACATGATCGAGTTAGTATTTGTAGGTATTAGTTTCTGTTAAATCCAACAAAGTTACTTCTATTCTTGGATCAATTAGGCTAAGATTAATAAAGACCTCTTCTAGCATCACATTTGAAGGTGTAGCTTGTGGAAACAAGTACACAGGAAGTAGAATTCCGGTGCTTTTTACTGTTTTATATTTAATTTCTTTGGTTTGTTTTCAGTACTCCTTTAGATGAGGTGCTGTTGCTGAGGGATTATTAAATGGCATTATTAAGCGTCTCAAGGATTTCTGAATGTAGGGGTTTTTGGGGCTGGGTTGCTGGGTCTGAGCATCTGTTTAAGAAATAGTCTTAATGATTTGGATCACTTGCTTTATACTTTTTCCTGTGGTTGAAGGAAGACTGTATCCTGTAGATCCTCCCCATCCTATAGCTGGATTGAGCGTACATGTTCAGTCAGTGCTTTATCCAAGGCAGTTGGGAGCCAGCTGAATTAGTTCTAGTGGTGGTAACTTGCTTCTGGTGCTTCTCACATCCAGAAGGGTTATTAGCAAGTCCTCGTGGTAGGTGACTAGCACATGTGCCATAACTTGGTGGTTCCAGGAAGTAGCATGATTGCTGTGTGCCTGTGTTCAGAGCCACTGCCTATATATATGCAGACCATGTGTGATGCCTCTTAGGCACAGTGAATGCAGAGTGCAAGTAGCTGATGTGGTACAGAATTGAAGGACACCTGACTGGAGAGCTCTTGGTTTGCCTGCAGGAAGGTTTGAAATATACCTGGGCTATAGTAAAGTGTAATTTTGTGATTGTTGCTTTGAAGTGAGTATTATTGTTTGTAGTCAGATAGGAAATGATATGCTGGACCGTTGTGGGATGGATTTTAGCAGTATAGGAAAGCGTAGGTTCTTGGAATGTAAACTACATTGGGAGTTTGCAAGCCGCTGATTTTGGTCTTTCTTTAAAGCACTATCACCTTATTGGAAAAAAGAGTATTAAATGAGTAAGACAAAAAAGGTAACTGATCTTTGTTTTTAAAATCTTAAAGGGCTTTTCTTGCTGAACTTTTCAAATATCAAATTTATGTTGTGCTTTGTTTTCTAACAAAAACTGAGTTTCCCATAAATAATCTTTACAGTGCTGCTGTCATGGTCACGTAAAACTGTTGGACGGGTTATTTATTTTAAGAGGAGCTGAAGTTCCTCAAAGTATGTGCATTCAAACCTGTTACTTTGGTTGATATATGGTAATAACAATTCTTGAGTTTAATTTCCTTTTGTTTCTCATTTTAATTCTACTGTTGAAGCCTTAGCCTTCTGCTGAGAAGCCCAGAGGCAAATCTCAGAGCGAAGTTACCATAAACTCATTTTTAAGAACTAGTATTTGTAACAGTGAAGTGTCACAACATGCCAGACTTGAAATGGACTGTAACAAGTATTAGTCTAAAACATGTGTTCACTTGCATCTTGTTTCTTCAATAAAACACAGCAGGTTTTAGTGAGACACAAGTTTTTCTTTCTTCTGGATAATGTTCATTGTGTAAAGTCAGTCAGTGGCTCTACACGGAGTAATTGCAATGAAGAATACACGATTTAAGATATTATTCAAATTGCATAGTTAATAGATTGTTTTCCATAAAGTAATTGACATAAAAATATTTTAATAGAACTTATATGCAGGATACAAGATTTCCTCTGGTTGAAATCTGTCTGCTTAAAACAATTGAATTTTGAAGTCAGGAGATCTGGATTTCTTAATTTTCTTGCTCAGGGCACAGTATTACCTTTTATAGTTTAGTTCACTTGGATCAAAACATCACCCCAAAATTCTTAAAATACTTTTGTGTCAGGGAGATGCTGGAAAGGTCCCTTGGAATTAAAGATATGCCTAAATGGTGACCACCCATATAATTAATAATAAAGAATAAAAAGGTCAACAGAAGGATATTTAGAAATAGCTGTTTCAAAGTTGTCTTGTGAACAGGTGTCCTAGAAGTCAAATTAATAGTTTGTGGTCTGGGCAGTGGGATTTTTTAAAAATAGAATTCTAAATATGTTCTTTGGCAATGTAATTTAATGATAGATTTTTATATTTAGGAACTCTCTACAAAGAGTTGCCTGACTTGTTACGCCAGTGTGCTACCAGTCCCGTGGATAAATATTTGAACTGCCGGAGTATGATGAAGCTTGTATAAATAGATGATTCATTCTCCATGGAGAAAAGAATGTCTCCCTTCTCACACACTTATATGCCTCAGATTTCTTAAAAACTAGCTCTTATTTTTGTTTGGCATAATCCCCAGTAAAATTAGTTTAGTGGTCATTAGGGTTTTATCAGCGTAATCTCACTTGTTCATTTATGAATGCTCTAATTCCTTCCTGCATACTAAATAGTGAATGTGAGAAGGTACAGTTT